GGATGACATCATTGATTGAGGGAGGGAAGGTGAATGAAGTGTTGAATTGGTTGATATAAAGTTAATAATTTGTTATAAATAGGTAAAAGTTAGAGAAATAACCTTTACTAAAGACATGAGCAAAACGGGTGCAAAATATCACACTATAACTTTAGTAGCTATAATACAAAGGATGGCAGATAAAGAGAGAGAGGAAGATATAATGATATTATTTATTTGATTCTTTCTTTCGTAGTGTGTTTTGATAACACACGGATCACTCTATTTATAGAGCTGCTCCCATGAGAACATCCAAAAATGATATGATGGCTACTTTTAACAATATTACATAACAACAAATGTATCACTATCATTTTCACCTTTTTCCAAATGTAAGTGGGATGTGGGTATACTAATGCATGTGGGATGTGGGCATACACCATACAGCTTTTACAACACTACCCCTTGGATGCCCACATATCAACATCAGTTGCCTTGTTAAAACCGTACTTGGAAAAACCCAGTTGGAAAAAACTATAGCGAAGGAAAAAGAGTACAACTTTACCTTGATTGTTGATATAGTGTTTATGTAAGCTTATGTTGCCTCGTTAAAACCTTGATAAGAAAAACCCAGTGGGAAACATCCTAATCGAAGGAAAAAGAGTATAACATGCATGTATGATGGATACTCCTCCTGATTCTGCATTCTTCAAATTTAGTTGATTAGTAAGCCGACGAAATCCGATTCCCTGCACTAACTTCTGAAATGTGCACTTTGGTAGAGATTTGGTGAACAAGTCTGCTAGATTTTCATTGGAACGAATTTGTCTGACTTCAATAACTTTAGCCTTCTGAAGCTCATATGCACTGAAAAACTTTGGAGATATGTGTTTAGTCTTATCGCCCATGTTGAATCCTTCCTTCATTTGGGCAATACAGGTTGCATTATCTTCATAGATGACAATTGGAGTCTCTGTCTTTGAAGTTAGACCACATGAATTCTGGATATGATGGATCATTGATCTTAACCAAGAACATTCACGACTTGCTTCATGTAAAGCAAGTATTTGCTTTGTTGAGCGCCATGAGATTGTTGTATCTCCATTAGTGAACACATATCCAGTTTATGAGTAGGCTTTATGCGTTCTGAGAGGAAACCAGCATCTGCATATCCAGCAAGGATCTAGTCATTTGTGGATTTCTCTGAGTAGAAGAAACCCATGTCTATTGTCCCACGAAGGTATCGCAAAACATCTTTGATTCCTTTCCAATGATGAATTGTTGGAGCAGAGCTATACCTTGCTAACAGGTTAACTAAAAAAGCTATATCTGGTCGAGCACCTATTGCACTCATATATGGTACTTTTGGACCAAGGACCATTTCATCATCTTCTTTTAGACGAAATGGATCTTTCTTAATGTCCAAATAATGAACGACCATTGGTGTGCTAAGTGGATAAGCCTTGTCCATTCTAAATCGCTTCAAGATTTTTTCAATATAAGCTGATTGGTGAACCAAAATTCCACTAGCATAATGCTCGATCTACAGGCCGAGACAATATTTTGTTTTCCCAAGGTCTTTCATTTCAAATTTGCTTTTCAAATATTCAGCAGTTTTATTGAGCTTTTCAGGAATTCCAACTAGGTTCATATCACTGACATATATTGCCACTATAGCAAATCCAAAATTGGATTTCTTAATGAACACACAAGGGCAAATGACATTGTTGATATGTCCTTCTTTGATCAAAAACTCACTGAGACGATTATACCACATTTGTCCAGATTGTTTCAGCCCATATAATGATCGCCTTAATTTTATTGAGAGCATACCTCGTGGTTTGTTAGTCATTTCAGGCAACTTAAGTCCTTCTGGGACTTTCATATATATGTCAGTATTTAATTCTCCATATAGATACACGGTGATGACATCCATAAGTCGCATGTCAAGTTTTTCTGAAACCACTAAAGTTATTAAGTAATGGAACGTAATTGCGTCCATTATAGGAGAGTATGTCTCCTCACAATCAATTCCAGGTCTTTGTGAAAAACCTTGTGCAAGGAGTCGTGCTTTATATCTTGCAATCTCGTTTTTCTCATTGCACTTTCTTGTGAATACCCATTTGTAACCCACGGGATTTAAATCAGGCGGGGTTTGGACTATCTATCCAAAAACACTTTGCCTTTCCAAGGAATTTAATTATGCATGGATTGCAACTTTCCATTTAGGCCAATTTTGTCCTTGTTTGCATTCATCAACAGAGCAGGGCTCAATATCATCGCTTAATATGATCTTACTGGCTATTGAGAATGCGAACATATCGTCGATGATTATTTCATTTCAATCCCACAATTCGTTAGACATGCATAATTTATGGAGATTTCTTTGCTTTCATGCACTTCTGTCTCTTCAGGGACATGTGTCTTATCAAGGACATTTTCTTTTTCAGAATCATGAATTGGGGATTTATCATTCATTTTCTTTTCTTGAATGATTTCATTTGGATTCAGTTGTGCCCTAGTCTTTCTCTTTCGAGGGATTGAATCTCTTGAACCTAGGGGTCTACCACGCTTCAGGCGTGCACCAGATGATTCATTCACTGCCACTTTATTTTGTCCAATAGGGACATCCATTCTTATAGGTGCATTTGCAACTGGTATATGTCACTTTGTCACTTTTGAAGCATCATTAAATGCATCTGACATTTGATTAGCAATACTTTGAAGGTGAACGATCCTTTTCACTTCATTTTCACATTGAGTGCTTCGTGGATCAAAATAAGATAAGGTGGGAACAACCCATGTCAGCTCTTGCCATTCTTCTAGAACGGTCTTTTCTCCCCTAATGACGGGAAGATTGTCTCATCAAAATGACAATACGTAAAACGAGCTGTAAATATATCACCTGTCAAGGGTTCTAAATATCTAATGTAGATGGTAAATCAAAATCCACATAAATTCCCAATCTGCGCTAAAGTCCCATTTTAGTATGTTGTGGAGGAGCAATAGGCACATAAACAGCACAACCAAAAACTCGTAAATGTGAAATGTTTAGCTAATACCCAAACACGAGTTGTACTGAGGAGTATTGGTAGTTGGCTATAGGTCTCAATCGAACCAATGATGTAGCATGTAAAATGGCATATCCTCATACAGAAACTGGCAATTTTGTTTTCATAAGTAGAGTGCGAGCTATTAAGTGAAGCCGCTTGATCAATGCTTCTGCTAAACCATTTTGAGTATGGACATGAGGAACAGGGTGTTCAACATCAATACCCAATGTCATGCAGTAATCATCAAAGGTTTGAGACGTAAATTCACCAGCGTTATCAAGTCGGATTGACTTAATGGGGTAATCTGGGAACTGTGCTCGCAACTTAATTATCTAAGCAAGAAGTTTCGCAAAAGCTACATTTCGAGTAGACAAGAGACAAACATGTGACCATTGGGTAGATGCATCAACCAAAATCATAAAATATCGAAATGGTCCACAAGATGGTTGAATAGGCCCACAAATATCCCCTTGAATTCTTTGCAAAAAATGATGGGGATTCAGCATCAACCTTTAGTTGTGATGGTCTAATTACCAACTTCCCTTGAGAACAATCCTTGCAAAGGTTATCATTTGAGATAGCAATGTGTTTGCTCAATAATGGATGTCCATAGAGTTAGTAATGATCCTACGCATCATGGTGGATCCTGGATGGCCCAGACGGTCATGCCAAAGCATGTAAAATTTTGAATTAATGAACTTCTAGTTCATGACAGTATGTGATTCAACTGTCTTTATGTATGTATAATATAATCCATTCGACAAACCACGCAACTTCTCCAATATACGTTTCTGGGTATCATTGGAGGTAATGCATAGATACTCCACATTTTCTGCATTTTTTCGTTTCAATGTGGTATCCATTTAAACGTATGTCTTTGAAACTCAACAAATTTTGAGTAGATCGAGTAGCATACAACGCATTTTGTATGGACAATATTGTTCCATTTGGTAATATAATCTGGGCTTTCCCTGAGCCTTCAATTACATCTGATTGGCCTGATATTGTTGTTACCCTTACTTTTGTAAGCATTAAGCTTGAGAAATACTTTCGTTCACGAAGTATTGTATGTGTGGTTGCGTTGTCTGCAAGATAAATATCTCTTCCATTTCTTATGTTTTGAGAATAACCAAAGTTTTTATCCATGCTTTTTAAGTAAAAGGTTTCACAGTTAAAAACAACTTATTCATAATGTTTGTACCATACTTGACCAATCCCGAAACTACCGAGCACCGGCCAACGTTATACTGTCAAGGACCCAGAAGAGTTCCCCTCCGACCAGGAGGCCAATCACTACTCGACACGTGTCAAGATTAGAAGCCAATCAGAGCGCAGCACGTGTCAACATCAAGAACCAATCATAACATGACACATGTCAATGTGACAAAGCTACAAGTTTTTCTATAAATAAGGGTCATTCCCCCACAATATTGCCTAATGCCATTTGTGTTAAATCATTCACAAGAACTCACTAAATTGAGAGCTTGATCCTTTGTACTTGTGTAAGCCCTTCACTACTAATAAGAACTCCTCTACTCCGTGGACGTAGCCAATCTGGGTGAACCACGTACATCCTGTGTTTGCTTCTCTGTCTCTATTCATTTACGTACTTATCCTCACTAGTGACTGAAGCAACCAAGCAACCAAGCGAAGGTCACAAAACCTGACACTTTCTGTTGTACCAAAGTCTTCGCTGATTTTGTGCATCAACATTTGGCGCCGTTTGTGGGAAACGACACGAAAAGCTATGTCGGTTCTCTTTCATTTTTTTTTCATCAAATCTCACCACCACCGTGAATCTGCTCAACTGCGCTCACACACTTTCAACGGAGACCCGCTCAACTGCGCTCAGAAACACCATGCAAAAGATAGGTCTTCAATCATTGATCGTATATATACCACGATCCTAATCTAACGATCCTTTCTCAGCTTGAGCTAACACTAAGAGGAGAGAGAGGGATCGAGAGAGACGTTTCTTGTGTGTTAGTACATTTGACTGGATCATGGCCTCGTTCACTCAGCCCGAAGATGACTCAGTCCCGATCACCGTGTCAACTCGCCCGTTCGACGACGACGGTTATCTGGGATACGACCCGCGACTCCCCTCCCAGCGATTTGACTCCTTCGTCGAGGCCGAGTCGCTCAAGGACTCCGCTACCGATTCCCCAATCTTCCACGGCTCCGCCGCAGGCGATGCTTTCGCCACTCAGCCTGCGTCGGAGGCTTTCTCTCCTCCGTCGATCTACGCCGAATCGAATGGACAGGGCTTCAATGGAGGTTTTGGCGGGTCCGACGATCCAATTTTGCCGCCTCCTTCGGAGATGCTGCCCGATGAGGGCTTCGCTCTCAGAGAGTGGAGGAGACTTGTTGAAATCTTTCTCTCCTTGGACCGCATCGGGGAAGTCTTTCTCTCCTTAAACTCAGATGGGTTGTCTTGGAAATCGCTCGAGCCATTGGAAAATGATGACTCAATTTTTTTGGGCAATTTTTCAGAGTAATTGCTGCTTTAGAACTTCAATTTGGTTCATGCTTTTGTTTAATGTCAAACTGAAATGATTATAGTGAAATGAGATCTGTAGCTGTGATCCAGTGAAGTGTTCACAAAAAAGCTGAAAAGTCAAGGTTTAGTGCTTTCGAAGAGGCGAAAATGGCGTCGTGGGATCACTTGGGAGAAATTGCAAATGTGACTCAGTTGACGGGCCTAGACGCTGTGAGGTTGATTGAACTGATAGTCAAGGCGGCAAACACGGCACGAATGCACAAGAAGAATTGCAGGCAATTTGCACAGCATTGGAAGCTGATCGGGAACTTGTTGGAGCAACTGAAAATCTCGGAGCTTAAGAGGTATCCGGAGACAAGGGAGCCTCTGGAGCAGCTCGAGGAAGCTTTGAGAAGGTCTTACATTTTGGTCAATAGCTGCCAAGACCGGAGCTATCTGTATTTGCTTGTAATGGGATGGAGCTGGGTAGTACCACTGCACATGATTTGCAGGTGCAAGTGCAGGTGCAGGACATCAGGAAAAAGAGGGAGTGCAGCAACATTAGTGAGGAACAGAAGAAGTGGAAGCTCCACTCCACCTTCCATCATACCCAACAGCAAAAGAAGAGACAGAAGGAATAACAAGAAAGTGGAACGGGTTTGGTGGGAAATATCCCACACCCCATTGTCGGCCAAGGAAAGAAAAAGAAAAGAAAAAAGAAAGAAAAGAAAAAAGAAAGAAAGAAAGAAAGAAAAGAAAAAAGAAAGAAAAGGAAAAAGAAAAGAAAGAAAAGAAAAAAGAAAAGAAAAAGAAAAAGAAAAGAAAAAGAAAAACGTTTTCTTTTTAGAAACCACCCATTATGTCTCCACCATGCCTCCACCGAAAAAAAGGGAGAAGATTCTTTTCCTTTGAATATTTTATTATTTTTATGATTATGATTAAAATAATTATTATAAAATAATTATTATATTATTTCTATATCATGATGACTCATGATTAAATAATATAATTATTATAAATGATATCACATGATTAATTCCACGTTATTGATTTATACAATCATACTTATGCTGTCATTTGTTGTCAGGAATTATCGAGCAACCAGCTCTACTGATCAACATTGATCTCTTGCCCAACCAGGACATCCACTTGCTTGGACACCCACAAGCTCAGACACCATTCATTTTGGGCACTTACAAAATCAAACCCAACTTACAGACCCAAGTCATGTCGAGAATCAACTCATACTGAGTACACATTGACATAAAGTATGTACTTGCAACCAGGAATGCCACGAGCCGAGCCGCCTTGCTGCGAACGTAGCCTATTACCGAGCAACCTGGCAATGGGCATCGACTCCGGCCGAGCAACCTCTCGCCGCAAGCATAAGCCTGTAGCCAAGCAACCTTGCAATGAGCATCGACTCCAGCCGAGCAACCTCTCGCTGCGAGCATAAGCCTCTAACCAAGCAAGTTCTCACCGCGAGCGTAAGCCTCTAACCAAGCAGCCTCGCAACGGGCATCAACTCCGGCCGGGCAACCTCGTAACGTGTGCTCCCTCTAGCTGAGTATTACTTTATGTTAAGCGTTGACTCATGTTGAGTACTGGTTCAAGACAGCATCTAGTCACTTCGGCCCACACATGGACTGAATTTGAAGTCTCCAGCCAAAAGACTCTCTTGACTGAAGACTTGGGGGACTCCTGTTGGTACCATATATTGGGCCTCGTATATTTGGGCCTTGGGCCTTGTATTTGGGCCTCACACTAAAGCCCATACTTTGTAAAAGAATAGGAGCCCCTTATTCTATAAAAGGGGACTCCTTCCCTCATTCTAAGGGAGGCAAAGAGCCAAGCCTAAGAAGGCTAAAAGAAGCTCTCATTACATTCAGGAGAGACCTCACACCACCGAGGCTCTCTTCTCCCTTCTCCTCTCTCTCTGGGGGACTTCCCCTCAAACACTTGTATCTATACAATTACAGAGAAACAGAATCAACTACAGTGTGGACGTAGCCCAAACATTGGGGTGAACCACGATAAAATCCTTGTGTTCTTCATGTTCTTGAGCGTTTGTGCAGATTCACGGTCGAATTTACGTTGTTCCAAGACCGCTCCGGTTTTGTGCATCAACACATAATAAAAGGGAATTGAAATGCCATTTTTATTAAATTGAAATGCGAGTTTTAAACTACAAGTTTAGAATAAAATATACATCAAACATAAATTATTCAATCGAACCGGTACACTTCATTCCTTCTTTCCATAATGAAGTCTGAAACATCTAGGTAGGTTGTGTTCAACTGCCTTGATAAGTTGAGCACTGGATCAGGTATATCCATTGGTCTTGCCTATCGAGGAAATTGATCTCGACACCCTTCTCCTTGAGGGAGGCTTGATATAGATTCACTAGTTGTTTTGGGGTACGACAGGTACGCGCCTATTGCCTATTGCCACCACACCTATGGCAGGCTCCTTCAGAGTTTCTAGAAATGCTGTTCATATGAGCTTTGCCTTTGTGGGGATATGCATTCTTGAAGCTCGAGCCAGAATTATACCTTAAAACCTGGTTGTGAAACTAGACACCATGGTTCTTGCCTTTCCCGTTCCACCAGCCTCGCTTGTGGCCACATCCTCGTTTGTAATTATTGCCACGAGAGGATGTGGTATTCCCTTCAAAGGAAATAACATTCATTTCTAGGAATGATGCCAATCCAGTAGGTCGAGACAGATGATTCTTCATCAGGAGCTCATTGTTTTGTTCAGCTATTAGGAGCACAGATATCAACTATTTGTATTCAGTGAAGCCTTGCTCTCTATACTGTTGCTATAGGAGCACGTTGGAAGCATGAAAGGTGCTGAAAGTCTTTTCCAGCATATATTCCTCAGTGATGGTTTCCCTACATAGCTTCATCTATGAGCTAATTCTAAACATCGCAGAATTGTACTCAGCTACTGACTTAAAATCCTGGATCCTTAGGCGAGTCCACTCATAACGAGCTCTTGGAAGAATCATCGTTTTCTAGCGATTGTATCTGTTTCTCAATGTATACCAGAGAGCTAATGGATCTTCAACTGTTAGGTACTCACTCTTTAGTCATTCATCAAGGTGGCGACGAATAAAGATCATGACCTTCACCCGATCTTGAAAGGATGCACTGCTTTCCTCCCTTATGGTTTCTCCAAGATTTCCTGCCTCCAGATGGATCTTGGTATCCGCTACCCAGGTAAGGTAGTTCTTCCCAGTAATGTCCAAGGCAACAAAATCAAACTTTGCCAAGTTCGCCATTTTCTTTTCTGAAAAAAAAAATGAGATGTGTAAGAACTTGCAATAATATGTATTCCTAGAGGAATATAGTGTTAGAACTTCTGGTTCTTACAAATTTTTCATTTTGATTTTCAAGCCAAATGATAAGCACTCGAAACTTTAGGCTCAAGATTTACATGATTGATGAGAAGGGCGATTGTACCGCACCATTCTCATTGAAGTAAGCGTAGGATGGGCGATTATTTCGAACCACTCAAACTGCAAGAAAATTTAAATATGCAGAGTAGGATGAACGATTATACCACACCACCTAAAATTGCAGTAAAATTAAATAGCAGGCAAATTTAAATATGTAAGGTGGACGATTATACCGCACCACCTAAAATTGCAGTAAAATTAAATCTGCAGATGGGCAATGATACTGCACCATCTTTGATCGTAGTAAAATTAACATAAATAAATATTATGTTAGTAATCAGAAACTACAACAAACAAGAAATCAAATATATAAGTAATTGTTAAATTGAGAACGAGAAACAGGCATGGTGCAAACAGTTCTTCACGAGGGTATATCCAGCAGTTGAGGCAAAGGAAGAAGAAGAACAGTAAAATCCTAGGAGGAAACATTTTCTTTTTCTTTCGGCGAAGGGAAATGAGAAATGGTTAGAGAGTCGTGCTGATAACATGTTATAAATAGGCAAAAGTTAGAGAAATAACCTTTGCTAAAGACAGGAGCAAAGCAGGTGTAAAATGTCACACTATAACTTTAGTAGCTATAACACAAAGGATGGCGGCAAAAGTTAGAGAAATAACCTTTGCTAAAGACAGGAGCAAAGCAAGTGCAAAATATCACACTATAACTTTAGTAGCTATAACACAAAGGATGGCAGATAAAGAGAGGGAGGGAGATATACTGATATTATTTATTTGATTCTTTCTTTCACAATGTGTTTTGATAACACATGGATCACTCTATCTATAGAGTTACTCCCATGAGAACATCTAAAAATGATATGATGGCTACTTTTGACAATATTACATAACAACAAATATATCACTATCCCTTTCACCTTTTTCCAAATGCATGTGGGATGTGGGTATACTAATGCATGTGGGATATGGGCATACACCATACAACTTTTACAACATAATTTAATTTTGTTTAAATGGAATCATGTGAGTAAACCCGCAGCCAAGTGCAGCTTAATTTTGCTTAATTTTTTATTTTTATTTTTAAGATTATAAGGGTGTGTTTGTTTGGGCTCACAAACTTTTATTAGACTGGACTGAACTAATTGTTAGTCTAGTCCCATGTTTGTTAGGCAGTAGGATTAAGTTAAGTGGGATTCAATTGGACTCGCTCCGACTATCTCCCTCGCTAAGAGTTCTTAGTGAGCACCCCTAAATATGACGGGATTGCTAAGACCGTCTTCGAAAGAGTTCACTCGTCCTGCTTCTCCTGCTCCCTCATCCTAGTCTTGCTCTCTTATCCTTGTCCTGCTAGTCCTCATCCTGCTCCTCTTTGATTTGGTTTTGCAGATTTGAAATTATTATTGGTTTTTTTTTTTATCAATTTTGTTGTTTTGGGTTCCAAGTCTCTGAAATTTTTGAATTTTTATCACAAAAATTGGGTGCGATTGTGTATTGTGATTGGGTCTGTTTTTGTAATTAATTGCTACCCATTTGTTTTCAAATTTTCTTCTATTTTTCTTGACAATTTGATGATCCTTAGAGATGGGAAATCCGTCCATCATCGG